AACAGAAATTCATTCGTATATTTCAAAACTTTTCTGCAGTCTCTGACTTTTGCATGCGGAAGGTAAAGAGAGGATCTTGGATTCTCCTGCTATGGATGTGTCGTTAAAATACAGTGAAACTTATTTTTTAAAGAATAAAGATGTGCCACATTCCATCCAGTATGCAAGTGTGTAAAGGTAAAGGTTTCCCCACTCGAAAGCCAGTCAAGTCCAACTCTAGGGGGCGGTGCTCATCTCCGTTTCCAAGCTGAAGGGCCAGCACTGTCCGAAGACATTTCCGTGGTCACATGGCCGGCATGACTAGACGCCAAGGCGCACGGAACGCTGTTACCTTCCCACCGAAGTGGTACCTATTTATCTACTTGTGTTTTCTTGATTTCAAACTGCTAAGTTGGCAGGAGCCGGGGCCAGAGACGGGAGCTCACTCCATCACACAGCACTCGGGTCCCGCCCTACCGAACTACAGACCTGCCGGTCTGCAGCTCAGCATCTTAACCTCTGAGCCACTGCGGCCCTATGCAAGTGTGTAGTCAGGGACTATTCACAAGACCATCTAAGTATGTGGTAGAACAGGGGTCCCCGGTGTGCCCAGAAAACTCCATTCCTGGCACCCATCAAGTGTTTTTACAAACTGGGTGGGGCCAGGTATGGCTTTTGCTCATTAGGGCTTCTGACTGGCGATTGGAGATTGGATTGGCTGTGCAGATTTTTTATAAAGTTGCTTTGGCAACAGCTGCCACCACAGCAGAAGGATATCCACTGTGTGACTGAAAGCAAGCTACAGCAGCCATTTTGTGCCGGGCTCCACCTCCTGTGGCAGCCATTTTGTAGCAGCCATGTTGTGGCTGGGCTCACCACCACCCTGTGTCAAAAAAAAAATTCCAGAGGTCTGATCAGGCTCAAAAATGTTGGGGACCCCTGTGGTAGAGAGTTATGGGAATGCAATCAGACCTTCTTAAGTTTATCAGAAGAAGGTTAGCTGGGTCTAGGGTTGCCAAGGCTCCTCATTGCTCTGGTGGGGGTATTTGGGGAGCATTCCAGGGGTGGGCAGGGACAGCCCCAAGCCTCATCCCCAAGAGTGACCCAGTCACCCCTCTCCCCCCCCTCCTGCCAAATTTAAAGGGCTTCAGGTGATCGGCAGGAGCCACAGGTGCTCTTGGAGGCTTCCGCCGCCGGCCAGCTGAATCCCATCATTCTGTTTCCCAGAGCGGCCAGGCAGATGCACCTGGGAAGACCACAGCCAACCCGAAAGGTAATGATGCCCCTCCCAGACTGTTTTCCACTCGTCACTCCACCCCAGTAGCTGGTATCCAGGGGTGTGTTCCTCTAAGCCTGAAGGTTCCACTGAGCAGTCATGGCCAGTAGCCACCGATAGTCCAGTGCTCCTGTACGACTGTCACTAATCCCCACTCCTCCACTTGCACCTGCTGGCATGACCTTGGGCAAGCCATAGTTCTGGCACAGCCGTTCTTGAAAAAGAGCAGTTTCTGTCAGAGCTCTCTCAGCCCCACCGACCTCACAGGACATAAGAACATAAGAGACGCCAATGTTGGATCAGGCCAAAGGCCCATCCAGTCCAAGACTCTGTATCACACAGTG